AAGTTAATCTCTATCATAATTCATATTTTTTTGTAGTAAAAGGGTTACTTGAAGACAAGTAACATTTAAGTTTAGGGGATTTTGACACGCTTAAAAATTACATACTTTTTTATATATATTTTATGCTCAATTTTAATGATTTTTAATGAAATTACACTTTAAAGGAAGGTATTTGCATACTTTTGGTTTCAAGTATAATAAATGGAGTTTTGGAGAAAATAAAGCAAAAATGGTGCAAATAAAGCAAAAATGGTGCAATTTGAAAAATGGTGCAATTTGGAGTAAAAACGTGCAAGAAAGAAAATTCTGACTTGGCACATTTCAATATGTCTTTCTATGCTTAATCTACTTTACATTTTTCACATTATTTTGAATGAAATTATACTTTAAAGAAATATTTTTTCATGCTTAATTTGTAGGTATATCTGTTAGGAGAAAAACACAATTGAAACGGGGCGAAACGGAGCTGAAACCGAGCCAAAAGGAACAAAATAGTGGAGGTGCTGAAAAGTGGCACATGATGCGCCAAAATCAAGTGAACTAGCGCATGACACACCAGAAATGTCGCATGATGCGCAGGAGACAACTTTTTGCGGATTAATGCGGTTCAGAATGAATTTTGGGTGAATTTTCAAAGGAACACTTGTTCTAAACACTCCTTAGAGTAATTCAATGCATCTAGACAATTTGGAAGACTCTTTTATGAAGGGACATATCTCTTGGATCAATGGACATGTCTTTTGAATTCAAAAGAGTTGACTTTTGGATAGAATTTTGGAAGGAATTTTGAATTCTTTTTGGAGGAAGGCTGCCGTTTAAATTTCTGGAGATGTTTTGAGGTCTAATCTTGCAGGCTGAATTGATTGTAATAAAAAAAAGAAGAAAAGAAAAAAAAAGGAAGGATCTTTTAATATTTGGGAAAATTCAGGATTGATTTGGAAGTTTCTAATTTGTTCCTTATGGGGATGTTTCATGACTAGCTCCGGAAGTGTGCTCCACCTTTTTTACTCATTCGAGAAAGTCCCGTCAGTTGGATGTTTTAGGATAACCCTCTTACCGCTTTGGCTTTTCTTTTCTAAATTTTTTTTGGAGGTGTGTCAGTCTTCTTTCTTTTTCATTTCTTATTTTTTGGTTTGCTTTTCTTGCTTCTTGGTTTAGGATTTTGGTGTTTATGTCTGATACATAAGTGCATATATATAGTCTTTTGCTATTTATGAATCATCAAGCAATGTCGCAAGTAGGTCAATTTTGTTTTCGGGCTTAGGGCAGGCGGTGATGACAAAGGAACACCAGTCGTAGAGCAGAATGATATTTCATCCTACGACATCAGGACCCAATCCAAGGACCTGGTGAACCGTAGGATGATAGTATTATTCACTGACACAAGACTAGCAGAGGACCCATACCTTCATAGGTTGTTGGCGGTCCTACGTCCGACGACGTGATCGACTCGTGGACAATCATAATTTTAAAAAATGATAAGAACAGATACAATATTTACAAAAAAAATATTTTTACTACAAAAAAATGATACTACTTTTGTTTGTATGCCTTAAATCCATGCGCATGCTAAAACATAAATTTTAAATGTATTGTAACTTGGTTGTTCACTTGTAGATTACCAGTACCGGGCTAAGGAGCACCCTCCTAAGTTAGGTTTACTAGGAGACCCTTCTAGTTGAGTGGCGGGCTTTATACATTCGGGTGATCGATAGTAGCATTCGACGTCCCTCGAGTACATATATATAGTATCTGAGCCTAGCCCCGACCCGAGTGCTTGCTGTTTTCTCTCTTCGGGTTTTTCGTGTGATTTTATTTGAACTTTGGTAAAGCACTCGTGGTCTTTTTCCGGGACCTTCCTGTGTTTTTGATGACTTGCTTTGGGTTGTCATTCACTGTTTTGCTCGAGTTTTCCTTCGTGGGTCATTTGCCGCTTTTTCTCCAGTTTTTCAAGTGGTGTTTCTTTTGTTGCTCATATTTACTTATACAATGTATGCTAGCTCATTTCTTAAATTCTATCACTATACTTATATCTGCTACATCAACCACACTTAAAGGAGCAGCGGACCTCCTAGGTATATAGGTTTGTTTTACATTACAACACACTTTACTGTTCTTCTCCACTGAACATTCTACTGTATACTGCATGCTTTACTGTTCTTAACTGCGCTGTCACTGTTTTCCTTTGTTATTCCTGTTACTATTTCTTTTACACACTATAACTTAGAGTAAGAGGCCAGTATTTGGTTTTATAAGAGGTACCGACAACAGATCATTGACTCAACAATTGCATGTACACTTAAAATTAACATCGAGCTCGAAGGTGTTACGACGGGGACCTCGAAGCTAGCATTATGGGCAACACGACCATCTTCAACAGCAGAACATGTCAACACCAGCTAAACAATCCTTTCTTTAGAATTAAATAACAATCCATAGGATTTCGAGGTTGTTCGCCTAGTGCGATATAAATCCTTAACTTCTCTTTAGGCATTTGTACAGGTCTGCAGTATAATCTAAGTCTTAACTCGTCTTAGGATTTCGATGTTGTCGTTCGTTACGACCTAAACTCTCACATCTTCCAGGGCATTTGTGTGATCGTTTCACACAAATGTGAGCCCTAAATTAATGAAATTGGTACACACATTTAAATATTTCTCCTCTAAACTGAAGCCAAACCATAGGGTAGTTTGGGAAGTCACCGAGGTTCTCCTTCGGATCTATGACATCCCCTAGTCTCTCTCTTCCTTTGGATTCCATAATATTTTCTAAATTTGAGTTATTCTTCTTTCACACCTCTTTGTCCGATCTCGTTGAAAAGTCATATTCCTTTGACCTTCTTGAAGACAATATCCCCTGACTTTTATATAGAGTTTCCTTAGGTTCCTTCGGTTATCTAAGATGTAATTAAATATAAGGGCTTGTATTTATAGGAGACTTTTCCGAACCCAGCTTAATATAATCCCTATTTAATTTTTTATAATAAATAGGAGAAATTGTCGGTTTATAAACTTGTCAGCTTTGTCAGCTTATAAATAAAATGATTTTCACAGACCAAACGGATGTCATATATTTCTTAGTTTATTTGATCGAGTCTCACCTTGAAGTCTTGTGTTTATCTTTTGGGATAGATATATGGCTTGAGGTATAGTGTTATTTCATTTAAACTATAAAAGATATAAGATCACTTTGATTTCATATTTTTCTAAATATATATATGTAAATTAAATACCTTTCCGAAGCGGGCGACGAGATTTTGATTCCGGCGACCAACAGCTTCCAACGGACAACTCTTTAACTAAAATAATGTCGAAAGCGCCACAAAAAGTTTCTTAAACTCAAAAAAGGTCGGAATAATGACGATCGACACATTGATGAACCACCGAAGAGCTAACTCCTTAAGTGTTGTTAAGAAAAGTTGACATTTCATCATATCATTAATCTGCAAAACTCAGACAGGTGACTCAAAAGAGGCCACATGATCGGTGAGATCATTATTCCTCTTGTATGGATCCAAATGAGAGACCCTTAACTTGACCAGGGGTATTATCTCCAAGATTTGTCGGGTGAATGCATTGTCCGAGGGAGGCTAAATAAGTGCTTCGACACGCTCTACCCCATGCCTAACCATCAACGTAGACTATTGTTGTCCACATGTTCGGGATCTCCTTGCTTTTTGGTCACTCGATTCACACGACCGTTGGGCGCTAACGAATTCTCTAGGGGAATCCCTTGATGGAGAGCCCCCTGAGATCTGACCTCTAGAAGGGATGGTTGATCATTCTTTCGAATGAATGCTTCTCAAAGGGCCTCAAATTGGCTCATCATTTTCTCTCACAACTTTTGTAAATGCTGTTGAATCTCTCGATTCATTGATTCTCTTCTGAAGCGTCTCTTTGCTATAATTCTCCTTCATAATGTGCCCCGCTTCTTGTTTGTGGCATCTCACCACATCACCTTTTAGAATGTTGAATCCTAACATGTCTTTTCATAAACACGCCCCGAGAGTTAGAGTTGAGAGAGACAGAGAGAGAATGATTTGTGCTTCATTTATGTCATGACAACCTACTTATAGGGGTCTCAAAATCCAGTTGCATAAAAAGGAGAGAACAATTATCATAACCGCTTGATTAACTGAATGGATGTCTCTTTCGAATGAAAATTATTTTATAATACAGAAAAGATATAGTGTGTTGATCATCGGGTGTTTCAAGTTTGGCCGGCTATGTCGACCAACCATATACATCATATCACTTCTATCGAGGTATCCAACTAATTGATTAAAGTCGTCGGTCGCTCGATTGATGGTCGATCATTAGATGATCAGTCAGTTGACCGCACTCGATTAATTTTGCTGTGTGGTCAACCAACTACTTAACAAGTCTATTCGTTCTTTGGCACGGACTTTAGTCTCCATAAACTCCATCATAGTTGCTCGATCTTTTGAGATTCGTGTTGGCATTTTTGCTGTATACACTAGGGGTGAAACTGAGCTCAGTGGGCTCTTGAGCTAGCTCGGGCTTGGCTTGATGAGTGGTTCGTAAATAGAGTGTAATCTGCTAACAAGCTATGTTCAACCCAACCCTCTCTCAACTCATTAGCTCCTGAAAAGTCTAGTTTAAAAAATAAATAACCAACAAATATACAGTATACTCAAAATATATAAAAATTTATAATTTTTTAAAATTATTAAAGATTTTAAAAAATAATAATTAACATTTTATATTAAATTATTTATTATTAATTATCTTTTAAATGATCATTTTATTTTTCACTTTATTAAAACACTACTTTTATTTTTTTTTTACTTATTCATAATAAATAAATCTGTTTTTGAGCTGATTAACCCAATTAATTACTCTAGTTGATTACACTTAACCGGCAACTCTCTTCGGAATTAGTAACGCCTTCCGGGCTTTCTATTTGTAAATAATTTGTAGATATCCCGAGTCATGATTTTAGGTACCCGTAGAATTAATTTTTTTCCATACGATTTATAACAAATACGCGTTGCGAAAGGTGGTTTCTTTTTTCGTAAGTTCCCCACTTTCCCCGATCCTAGTCCACGCGAGACTCCCTCTCAACTCTCTCCCTGCATTAATTTTTGGGAAATCGGTGGAATTTTCCAATCAAGAACCAAGCTGACGTCTTCTCGTTCTCCCGAATCCTCCTTTTTTAACCAGCGCAGGATATGGACCGCTGTTTTGCAGATCTTGTTCGCTTCATTGGTTAGCTGTTGATCATTCATTATCACCGGCGCCTGAGGTTGGAGCTTAGCTTATGGCGTCCCAGGCTTCCCTCGAGAAGATGCAGCTCCGGCAGAGCTACCGGAATCTATGGCATACAGATCTTATGAGCACCATCCGGGCTGATTTTCCATGTAAGGCTTGTATTCTTAATAATCCCTTTTCTTTTTCGCTTTTTTCATCCGCTTTTTACTGTCGAATTTTTTATCGTCATGGTGATTAAGAATACTATCTTTCGCTTTCTTTTGCAGTTTGCTGTCTGGCTCTATGGTGGTAAGTTCCTAATCCGCAGAGAATTTCTTTTTTTATTGTCGATTTTATTTCTATAGTTTGTTTGAGAACATTTTCTTCGTCATAGTGATCTGAAAATAGCATTTTGTGTGATGAGGTCCCATTTTGACGTAACCGAGGGGTCGATGCCTGCGATAATTTAGGATTGATCGGGGTGCTGCCTTGCTGGATTAAGGCATCATCGCTGGCGGTTAATTGAGCGGATACTTAGCAAGGAAGAATAGTTCATGTGGAGAGTTGATGCCCTAGACTTACGGCTATTACATTATCCTTTGTAATTAAACATTGTGCATAGATGAACTGATAAACGTAGTTACAGGCATTGATGAATAGGATCTGATGATAATAGCCTCAAACCTAATCAGAGTTTAGATCTGCCAGAAGGCAAGCAGATGGTTGGATTGGAGAGAGAGAGAGACATTGGTTGAATTTCTGGTTTGCTACTTTTTTCCTAGTTGAAACCCTATTCTACCCATCACTAGGCTGCCATGAATCTACTATTTTTCTCTCATCATTTTGAAAATTGGGATCCAAATTCTGTGAGTCTCGCTCGCTTTAATAGAAAATTATGAGCACAGATTGAATGCCTCTACCATTGAATTAATCTTATAACAATCTTTTTTATATTACAATCAATGTGCTCTTGTTTCATTGGCCCCTCTTGAATATTCTCTATATAAGGGCTCTTATAGAAGATTTTTGGTTCGATCTTTTGTGAGCTGACACTCACCACTTATAACTTTTTCTTTACTATAATGAATTCTCTTCATCTAGCTGATATCTTTTTCATCTTGGGGTTTTCACATAAAATTTGTGTGCTAATTTCTTTTATTGCTCATCACTTTAAATTTATAGCATGTGGTATCAAAGCAACATTTTTTTTAGACAATGATAATAATAAAGACATTTTGCTCTTTAATTTCAACACCATATTCTTACTTTGGCAGGTTAAGGTGTTAACAATTTTGGCAAAGGTTAATTTAGATGATGCGATGTTAGGATTTAACAAGATGCCATCATATTGAATGCCAGGAGAGAAGCAGCGTCTATATATTAGATACATATTTATTTGTCAAATTAGATTTTATAAAATATTTTAAGGAGAAGATATTGATATGTTATGGGTGAAATTTGAATAGTTGTGCACGTTGAAAAATCTCATCAACAAGTTATATTTGATCAGATACGTCAACTCGACCCGAACTTGACTTAAAAAAAAATTCGAGTTTGGTTTGACTTGAAGAATTCTCAGGTTGAATGAGTTAGGAATTCTAACCCGTTTAATTTTTTGGGTTGAGTACGGGTTGACCCATCAACTTGAAATTACCATGAAACTGACCCACTAACCTGAAATTAACTTGAAATTGGTTTTCAAACCTAAAATCGACCCATGCTTGACTCGAAATTGACTCAAACTTGACCCAATTTTTTTTTTTGGGTTAAACAGCTTATACCGGTTAGGTTTTGGTCAGTGGGTTTCGGTTGTTCGCATTTAGCTTATTTAATTTTCAGCTCGAGTTAAGGTCAAATAGTTTTGGTCAAGTTAATTTTGGGTCAGCCCCGTTCCCAACTTGCGAACCAAATGTAACACCCCTACCAACAAGATAGTTGAAAGCACATCTCTTGTAGATCTTTTAACTACTTTTTTTTAAAAAAAATTGATTTAAAGAAAATGAAGGTTAAGTATGACGAAGAAGATATAATGTTAATTTTTTTATATTCGTTGCCCTCATCATATGCAACATTTAAATATATCATATTATATGATCGAGTGACATTTACTTTAGATTATGTTTTCTCTTTTCTTTCAAGAGAAGATGAAATAGCTTATGGATGAATATATTATTCAAGGAGAAGGTCTATTGTCTTGAGAGTTTTGGTGTTGATATGTAGGGTAGACTACAAGAATAAGAAATAAGATCTGTAATTATTACAAGATGAAATAGTACATCAAATCTAAGTGTTATAAACTACAAAATAAGAATAAAAAAGCGACTATTAATTAGAAGGGAAAACAATAAGGTCTTTTTGCTAAAACTTGTGTTAGCAAAGAAGTTAGTAGTGGCAGTGAACTATAAATTGTCTCTAATAGTGAATTATATATTTATTGAATTTTTTATTTGGCATATAAGTTTCATAAATTTATAGTGGGTTTCAACATATGAAACAGTATTTAAGAGTATTGTGCTAATGGGGAATAATTCTTTAATAAGATAGCCAATATTGGATTTATCAGGATCAAGTTGTTTTATAGAGTCATCAAGATATTAGAAGACGTAGGTCATGTCAACGGTTTGAAAATGAATTAAATTTGTGTAATTATTCTTAATGCTAGAATGAATATATTCTAGTGAATTTAGAGTTTTGAAGGCCAGCAATTGCTCTCTTGTCATGAAGGAAGAGAAAAATAATGTTGGACTATGTCTTATAAGACTCTATAGTGGTAGGTGATGTAGCATATGTTATTTCTTTTATGTTAGATGATGAAGTAGCTATACTTTGATACATATGTATTAGGCACATGAGTGAGAATGAGATCATTGAACTAAGAAGAAATTTTTTTTTTAGATTAGAGCATTACTAAATTGAAACTTTGTAAAGCATTTCATGTTTGAAAAATAGAAAACAATTGAGTTCAACACATATATTGACAGTACTAGGGGATGCTAGAGTACATATTTTCTGATCTTTCGTGATCATCCACAGTATCGTCTATGGGAGGTGCCAGATATATGTGATGGATTATTAATGATTTATTGAAGAAAATGGAATACTATGATTAAAAAGTAGTATGGGAAGAAGATTAAATGGCATTCCATTAATAACGACCTTTAGATTTCTATTAGAGAATTTAATGATTTTGGTAAATTATAAAGATTTCTAAGAGCCTTCACAGTTCAGTATACTCTACAACAAAATAGAACGAACGATAGACTGAGTGATTAGAACGACAATAGACAATGTGCATTGCATACTTTTCAATGTTTTGCTATCTAAGGCTTTTTTCATTGAAGGTGCTTTTATAACTATCTACTTGTTGAATCACTTTCTTCCATTGTTATCGGTAAGAAGACTCCATGAGAAGTTTGATCATGGATTACTCTAGTTTAAGAATACTTTTCTATTGCTTATACTCATATTAATAATAATATTAAATTGGAACTTAGATTTATGAAGTTTGCTTTTTTTTATTTAAATACTAAGATTACATGTTATGGTGGAAAAAAAAACCATGTGTGGAAATGTTGTTTTTGATGAATCTGTCATGTTACATACCTTTTATTAGATCTAGTAATATTTGTTAGGAGGGGTCTAGAAGACAAGTGAACTTTTGATTGAGACATGTTCATATAAAACCAGTTAAGTTTTGATAGCATTGTGATGCTATTTCCCTATGATAATGACAACAACTATTATAATACTATATTGCCAAACATAGAACATGAAAATAATTTAAGCTTCCATAGAGGTATAACAAGGTTAATTTAGTTGCTTATGCTCTAATAGTGGCTGAAAATATTAATTATAGTGAAGGACCATTTAATTATACAAATACAACAACAAAAAAAACAACAACAACAAAGCCTTAATATCACTACGTGGGGTCGGTAAATAATTATACAAATAATTGATATAATTGATTCTAATAAATGATTAATTGCTATGCAGAAGAAGATAAAATTTCTATAAAAGGATAGTAGTTGGAATTTAGTTGAGTTTATATAAACAAAGAAAGTTGTTCGCGATAAATGAGTGTTTAAAAAAAAGATACACTATGAGTTGAAGATGCCATAGGCCAGACTATACTACTTATAAAGGGATGAAGTCAAATTTTAGGTGTGGACTTTACAAATATATTTTCTCTAGTTGTTAAGCATAATTTAATTTGAGTTTTACTTGATTTAATGGCTATTCTTGAGCTTAAGCTTGAACAATAAAAATTAACGATTGTTTTTTGTATGAAGTGTTTAAGGAAGATATTTATATGTCGCAATTTAAGGGTTTATTGTTTTAGGAAAAGTAGTATATGTTTGCTTGTTAAAGAAGTCTTTTTATGATTCAAAAGTCTCTTAGGCAGTGCTATAAGAAGTTTGACTCCTTTATGATCACTTATCAGTTAACATCATTAGTTATGATAGTTGTGTCTATTTCAAGTGGAATAATGATTAATCTTTTGTTTATTTGTTCTTATATGTTGATGATATGTTGATAGCTATCTAGAATAAATAAAAAAATTAATAAGTTGATTCTTAATATAGTAGTTAGTTTGAGATGAAAGATTTTAGAACTATAAAGAAGATCCTCAACAGGGAGATTCATAGCGATAGAAAGATAGGTAAATTATTTCCGAGTAAAAAAAATATTTATATATTGAGAAAATTCTTCAGAACTTTACTATGCAAAATTTCAAGCCTATTAGTACGCAATTAGTCTAATGTGTCAAACTTTTATTAGCATTTTCTTCACGATTAGATGTGAGATTGAGTTTGATCTGGAGTTTTATATTCCATTGCAGTGGGATCTCTTATGCATGCTATAGCATATTTTTGTCAAGACTTATTAAAGATAAGTCAGTACAGTTAGTGGGTACTTGAGCAATCCAAGTAGGGTGAATTGAAAGCAAGTCATTGGATCCTTAGATTTTTTATTAGATTAAAAGATGTTTGTTTAAAATTTAGGACTATAGATAGAATCATTAATTAAGTTGATTTAGACTTTATTGGAAACCATTGTAGGAGGAGATGACTTACAAGATGTCTTTACCATTGGTGGTTGTACGATTATCTGGATGAACACTTTACAGACTATTGTGCATTTCTTACAACTAAAATTGAGTATATGATAATTATTGAAGCTTGTAAAGAAGTTCTTTGGTTGAAATATTTATTTGAAAAGCTTAGTGCAGCTTAAAAATTACCACGGTAGATGTCTTATTGAGTGTTATTTGTCTTACTAAAGATTAGATGTTTCAGAAAAGAGTT